TACAAAAACTATTTGATTTAATTAATTTTTGGTCAAATCATTTGCTAATCCAATAAATACAAGTTTAGGAACTTAAGCCCAAACTATAAGCTATAAAACTTAATTTTTGTATCTATATGTAATGCAACAAAGCCATTTTTTTTTGGGGTAAATTTTTAATTAAAAAATACACCAAATTAAGCGTATTTTTTAATTTTTTTTAATAATTCATCAGACATCATATTAAATTAATTGATTTAAATTACATCAAATTTTAAATGATAAATACAAAATTAATCTAAAATTCGATCTAAATTAAATTATCAATAGTTGAATCGGATAATTCATTAAAAAAAATATTACTTAATTTTTAAAAAATTAAACCCTAAATCGAGCATAAAGGGGGAAATCGATCTACACGATGACCCGGAACAATTTGAATACAATAAAAATTGGTTGTGTTATTTAAGAAGGAGAATGTGGTTAGAAATTAAAAAGAAGAGATGAATGAATGAATGAATGGTTTGTGTGTGGGTAAAAGTTGGGGAATTTGGCAGGTTGGGTTGGAGTCAACAATTTATATATTTATACAACAAAACCAAAATAAAACTCATAGTGGTTGGAATTCAGTGCCTGCGGTTCCATGATCCTAAATGCACTTTTCTATGTTTCTTTTGGTGGGTCCCGCTGCCTCCAATTTGCTTTCCTTGGAGTAATTACGTTTGCCCAATCTGGTATTCTTTTTCTTTTATATATATATATATATGTATGTGTGTGTGGCTGCTATTTTTTTCCCCATAATATATACATATACACATACATATACATATACATTTAGGACATTATAAAAAATTCTTGGCACACAATTTTCATATTTGTAATATTTTTTGGGTATGGTGAAGTACAATATCTAATATTATATAGTGTAGAGTTTAATAATATATAAATTAAAATATTTTATTAATTTTGTGTATAGATATAGTGAGTGTCGCGGCCCACCCCTTTTTGTATAAAAAAATTAATATTTAATATTAAATTTGTATTTAGATATAAATTTTAATATCTTTTATGAAAAAAAAAATTATATACTAAATAGGTGATTTTAGGGGAAGCAATTAAAAATACCTATTTAATATATAAATTTCAAGTTTAACTTTAATTTAATATCCAAAAGTTACATGTAAGCTTTGTAATGCCCAATTAATTTTAATGTACATAAAATTGATTTATAAATATAATTTTTTATATTTTAGAATTTTAAATTAATATAAAAATGAAGAAAAATAAGTAAAAAATAAAATTGAAAATAATTTTAGAAAAAAAAAGTAAAAATAAAAAACTGAATGTCAAAATACAAGTTAAAAAAGTTGTGCAAAGTAGGATGTCGAGTTAGTAGCCGCGACGAACCAGAATGCGCTGCGTGGTAAGGGACGCTGACGCGGTGCCATGCGGGAGGCTATGCGGACGATCCGTATGCCTTCGATCGGACGACCCAGATTCGCTCATGCGCGCACGGACGGTCCGGATGCGTTCCCTCCCCAAATGCGATCGGACGCTCAGATTTAAACACGATCAACAATCCAGATCTACTTCCTCTTTAAACGCGATCGGATGATCCAGATTAGATCGTGATGAACAGTTCAGATTCACTCCTTATTTAATTGCGATTGGCGGTCGAGATCAAATACGATAGACGATCTAGATTAAAAGGGAACGAATATAAATAACTTTCCTCACACTAAGCCCTAATCTTAGCCGCCAAACACCTTCGCCGAAGAAGAAGATCCAACCATATGGAAGGAAAGCCGCCACCACCTGCCGCCGCACTGGAGCTACTTCTGACCACCAAAAGAGGTAAAAAATTTTTTTTTGCTTGGAATTCAATTTTAAACACCGTCATGGCCGAATCGGGGCAAAAAGACTAGCGGATTGGCTGAAAACCACAGATAAAGTCCAGTGGCACCGTTGCGGAAAATTTTAAAAAATGCCTCTGATGAGGTCCTTCTCGATTATTGTTCTGCGTAATTCTTCCACAATTGTAATCACTGTTTCCTTCTTTACAGGTTGACCGAAGCAAAATACCCAACCACAAAGGTGAGCCGGCAGAGCTGTCGCACTGGAGAACCCTGCCGTCATGTTAAAATTCTGAAATTGGCCAAAAAGAGGTCTTGACACTAATTTTGGATTTTTGAGATATTTGTAGGTACTTGTAGAGTGTTTTAATCCCCGAAAAAAAATTCAAAAAATCTGGGGACTTCCAGTAAGCGAAGTCAACAAGTTTAGTATTTCAGGTATCAATTCGAGTAAGAATCCCTCACCCTCTCATATATTATGGAATTAAAGTTAAATTAACAAAAAAAAGGTATTTTCTTCAATTTAAAAAATATCCATAATTAATTACGGGTTACTAATGGAGGCAGAACCGGAAATTATTCATTGTTGATTTATGTTGAATTATTTTACAGTTTG